ACTCAGCAGTAGCTTAGGTATCTTTAACGAGCATTGTACTGTGCAGTATCGTCATACTCTGTAATCCAATTCATTTATTCCTAGGGCCAGTGTGATTGTCTCTCTCACCTCTTTGATATCATGGACTGAAGAATTGCCCAAGCCTCCGTTCTAGTCTGAGCTAATCAGTCTAGATGGAACTGGCTGTATTTTCATCTCTTCAAGTTCTAGATTCATTTTTCTAGAGAAAATGTTCCAGGCTCATTGTCCAATCCAGATTCAGAATGATGCTTCTTGGCTTTGCTATGCTACGTAACTCCAAGCATGATCTGTTTTTCATAAGAGTTCAGAATATGAGAAAAACCTTCTGAAGGAGAGAGACGAGAGGCTATCAGCTAAAGGAAGAAGGGAAGGCAGGTCCTCCTGTCCCTGGGGCCTCTGGGCTGTGACTGCAGAGAAATGGGCTGGGAGGTGCATGAACCAGGCAGCAAGGAGAGCACGCCTTAAATGTGGCATTGCCAAAAAGCGTGTCTGGTCTGGACTTCACATGTGCACAAAGGGCACTGGCCTTAACCAGGTCATAAACAGTCCTTCTCTTTCTGAAGTGCAGGTTTTACTGTTGAGACAAGCGTGTGCCATGGTTGCAGGAGGTGGCTGTGAGCTCCTCAGAGGGCAATGGTTTGTAAGCAAACTAGCCATAAATACATCAGCCAGTGGATTAGTAAGTGGTGTGGGTGGGTGTAGGACATGTGCATACATATACATACAGACATGCATACACACGCATTTCTGTCTCTGCCAAGCTTATGCTAAGTGGTATCATTGAAACAAACTGCCAGATGAGTTAGGATCTTTGGGTGAAAGTGTGTATGTTTGAAAATATGGCAATAACAACATTTCCTTTGAACAGACCAGTGTGTAAAGCTACCATTGCATTGCAGAGGCTCACCAAAGAGAGGCTCTGATCAATCTGTGTGCTGAATCTGGTGAAACAGGTCTGCAAATGGAATTTGTTGGTGAACTGATGGTAATTACATTGCAACTGAAGGCAGCTTGCAGACTTGAGGCTCAACTCAAAAGTCTGAAGCAGATTTACTTATCATTACTGCTGCAAAACCTCCTTCACTTTGAGTTGGTTTCACACTGCTCTGAGAAGAAGGAAGAGGTAAATTTGGAAGCAGAGGGATAAAGTGTATTGCCTAAAAATCAGCATTTTAACCTTCCTCACTACTTGCGAGCAGTAGCTTTTGTTTTTGAGCACAGATTATAGAGAAATGCTGTTCTAACAGAAAAAAAAAAATCACAGATTTCAAAGGGAGAGGAAGACTCTGGGTGTACTACAGAAGAGTAGCATGCAAAGATGTGATACAGAGATACAATACTTAAAGAAAAAAGTAGTGAGCGTCTATGGGCTTGATCCAAATGCCTACTGAAACTGATTAGAGTCCTTCCCCAGACTTCAATGGGATCAGGCCCCTGATATTTCATAAACACAGATATATATTTAAAATTATTTAAGAAAGTTAAGATGATAGAGAGATTGTCAATTTCCAGCAGTGGTGGTTAGATAGTGTAACACCCTCCTCCTAAGAGATTCTACATCAAGATGATCAGGGAATTATGTGCATAAAATAAATCCTCAGGCTTCAAGATAAGAACACACTGCACTTTCTTGCCATATGGTTCAGACTAAAATTTCTTGCTAGCCCAGCTCAGATTCTCTTCCTTCTCCTTCCTGATATGTTCCAGCTGAGCTCAGCTATTCCTGGGCTGGTTCTAAGCATATTAAGAAAAATCTATGTCAGTGCCCACTGTATTTTATTTTCTGCAATCCGAGCTACACAGGCTACCAAACCCTTGTGCTGCTTGCTGTTACACTCTGCTGGTGTCCCGGTGTCCCTGTCAGCACCTTGGCTCTGCCCATGTGCAGCCAGGAGCAGAAGAGGGACCTCACTCTGCTCTCTGGGGGGGTTTCAGCAAAAGCTGAGCCTCAACATAACTGTGCTCACACTGGAATCAGTCAGAGCTTTGTTGTATGGGAGATTTAATATTGACTTCAGCAGAACACTGGAAAAATCTCACAGGAAATAGCTGATTAGAGAAAAGTAGTAGTTTAGGTCAAAGTGAAGAGAAATCTCATTCCATTGGGATAGATGATTTTGATCAATTTTTTGCAGAGGCCAGCGTGGCGTGTCTCTATTTTACATGAATGAGGAGAGCGAGGTGAGGGCGGGGGTGCGGGAAGGGAAAGAGAAAGCAGTTAATTTGACTGAATAAAGATAAAAGAATGCAAGAGCCACCGAGTTTGCTGTTTATCTGGACATTGTGTAATGTTGCAGAATCAGATGTGGCTCTCTGGCTTTTGCACAGAAATGCCCAGGGAGAAATCCAGCCTTACTGCTATGAGTAATGAGTTTTTTAGAGGGGACTTCCTGATGTCTTCTCCTCCCCACAAGGTATCCACTTTGCAAGCAAATTTATGGCACTCTGGGCTTCCTAAATATGTTCCTTTGATCTGAGGAATTAATATTTGCTTCCACCCCACTGGAGGGCAAAAAAAGGGCATGGAAATGCCTGGGTGCCTTAGCATGGAGACGGTCCTTTCGGGGGAGAGTATGGGTGTTTGGCAGAGGCAAGAGCCCAGACAGTCCAAATTCCTCCAAAGTTAACTTAATCCTTTTTGGGTGGGATGGAGGTCTGTCATTTGGAAACAAAGGAGGGAGGAGAAAGCTGCAGAGGTTATAATGAAGAGCAAAGCCCTGGGATTGTAGAAGGTCTGTGAGGTCCCACCAGGTCTGAATTGATTAGTATTCAGTATTTATAATATCTCCATAATGGTAAAACAAAAGAAAACAAGCCCAGAGAATGCATTTTTAATCATCAATCACTGCTCTTTGTTTGTCATGAATGAGCAGCGAGGGGAAATAGTCTCCATAATCACCTCCCTTCACATCTCCTGCCACACAGGCCTCGCTGGTGTGCTAAAAGGGAAATAAATAAACAAGCAGCAGATCTCAAAATAAATCCCGGAGACATGGGTGCTACGTGGGTTATCAGACCCACACACAGGGGTCTTGTTGAGGATACAAAGCGAGGGAAGGACATTTACAAAGCATAAAATCAAAGACAAAGCATTAAATGCAAGAAAAAAAAGGAGGATTGGAGTTACAGAGGGGCAGCAGGTGAAGGAGGAAGCTTTTCAGAGAATGATCAGTGGTGGAATAGTGAGCAATAGCACGTCAGAATAGGGACTTCTCATGGGAAGTACAATATTAGGATGGAAAGCTTGAAAAGCATCAAATCTAAAAGAATTTCAGCCTTTTCAGTATCTGAGGATCATGTAATTTTAGGATTTGCACATTAAAAAATTATTTTTCTCAAGAATAACATTTGTACTAGGAAAAAAAATATTGAAAAGCCCATTGTTTTTATTAGGAGCCCCCAAATCCATGTCTTATCAGGGACAGCACTATGCTGAACTTCTCCAATGGGATCCCTGCTTTGATCTTGCAGCAGTTCTCACAGGGCTTTTATTGTAGTCCCAAATGCCTCTCGGGAGGAAGGGAAACATTATAATTCTCCCCTAATAAGTGAGATAACAGGCTTCTGGGAGGGTAAGGCCCAAATTTTCTAAAGCATGGCTGGTGACTCCACACCCACTTGGTGCGTTTAGATGAGTGCTCCCAGCGTGACAGGAGCCCAGAGCCATCAGATCAGCCTGTAAGGAACAGACACGCTACATCTGAATCCTATTGAAAAATAATAAAAAGGTAATGACTTTGTCATTACTGGACATGGGTTTGTCTGTTGGCGAGGGGGGAGGAAGGGGAGGTTTTCTGCATTCAGGCTATAAATAATGTTTCCCATTATCCTGTGCAGTTCTCCTGCATTCCTTACGCAGCCCTTGGTTTGCCTCCATCCCACTGGGCCAGTGTGAAACTCCCACACCATCCTGCAGGCTGGCATGCACTGCCAGACAAGGGAGAGGGCCAGGAGTCCTTGTGTCTGTGAGCCAGGCCAGCGTGACCCACGGAGACACCGAGCAAGACAGAGATAATCCAGTCACCTCCTCTTGCCCGGACATAGGCGCAGGTGACCAAATGGAAGGGGCTCAGTTTCAGAAAAGTCCATCAATAAATGTTCCCTGATGGAAGTGTTCTGTGGTACCCGGGACTGGGAGTGTGGAAGGGTCATTGTCTTGTAATTAACTCAGCTCCGGGCACTAACAGCATCACCTTGAGCAATTGAGACTCGGTTGCAAACCATGACTTTGAAGAATTTTAAACCATGTATCAAAAGGCCAAACTAAATTGCACTAGCTCTGTCTTTAACCAAATTCAGGGCTAATATTTGCACTGTTTAGGTGGAGACACTCAAAATTGCACACCTCAATTCAGCAGGTGAGGTTTGCTGGTGAAATGCTGAAGGGAGGGACCTCAAGAGCTGCTGGAACCTATCAGGAAAATTGCAGCATTTAAACTAAAGGTGTGTTTTTAAGTCAATAGCCCAAAATGTAGATGCCTACATGGATATTTTTAAAACTGCCTTTATATAACTAGCTTGATATAATTAAGAGCTGATTTAAGCTCAAACAAAATAACTCCATCTTGCACCCAAATTGAAGTCCCCACACTGAGAATTGCATCTGCTGAACTAAATTAGTCAGAAAATCAGGGCAACTTTATGCTGTAAACAGACGTAGAGCCGTGGAGGATATTCCAGTTTTGTGTCCAGCTCTGCCACTGATTCACTGTGTCCCTAGGCAAGAGTCTTAGGTTTTCCATCCATAAAGTGTAATAAAATCTATGTAGGTGCCAGGTGATGTAGTGCCTAATTAATTAGTAAATTAATATAATGAACTTGAAGGTCTGTATCAGCACAAATGAATTGTTAATATAAATTTTTATTATTTATTGCTATTTAGTTGATTATTTTCTAACACAGACAGACAATTACAAACATACGTCACACTTGAATTCCAGTTTTATTATTGTTGTTGATTATTTATTATTGTTTCCTCCTGTATTTATTTGTTACCTTTAGTAGTCTCTCTTAGGACTAAGCCCCAGACCTGTGGATGGTTACCCAGACACATGGAATAGTGAAGTCACTGGGAAATTTTGGGGCAGAACTGGGGTTAAATGCAGGATGTTTCTTGTTAAGTGTCAAGTCTTTTGCTTGAACCTTTATGTATATTTGAGGCAAATAAAACAGGTAAGGACAGATTCTGAGCAGGGTAAATTCTTGTACACACTCATTTATTCCAACCAAAAGTCAGTATCAGTCTGTAGGCCTTTAATTAGGTCCACAAGGTTTCAATATTTATATAACATACCTGCATACTGATATTAATCATATGTATTTCTAAGCAAAGACGTTTCAAAATGCAGAGCCTGATCCTCTTCAATATAAATAATTCTTGCCCCAGTAGTGCCAGTGTGAAGCAATGCCTCCTCTGCACAGAGCATTTGGAGCAGGGTACGATGGGGATCTAACCAATTTCTTCTTCTGAAATGGGCACATGCAAAGAAATAGTTGCCTGTGACAAAAAGGCACTTGACAAAAATGACCACATGATACTCCTTGATTACTTGTGCCACTCCAATGATAAAATATGGAAGTGGATAATATTGTACTTGCAACTGAAAAAAATGCCTCCTCCTCCTCTGCAATTACTTTTAATTTTCCATTATGAAACTAAGTAAATACACAGGCTTTTTATAGTGCATGTCTGAGTGATTTCTTCATTCTTCCAGTGAGTTGTGAAGCAGGATCAGAGGTCCTGGACAGCACCCTGCACTGCGCTGGGTTTGGAAAATGTCACTCCCGTCGCCTTATGGCCCTTGGGTAGTCCACATGGCATAGGTGACTGGGCCAGTCCAGTTTGGTAGTTTGGTCGGTCTAGACCTCATCCAGCTCCTCATTTACTAGAGATTAAGTGCTTCTTTGAGGAATTAATGTGGCATGTAGGCCTATGGAAAGCATGTCACCTGCTCCGAGTGGGCGGGAGCATGGCATCTCAGCCTGAGTATTGCCATGAGCCTCAGAGCTACAGCAAACACCTTTGCATTCCTTCTTCTTCCCTTCTGCTGAAAGCAGGGTGACCTGAGGACAAAGTTAGAACCCTCAGCATGTATTTCTCTGCTTATGGCATTTTAATTCATGCCCTTCTCATGTTGTTTTAGCATAATTTTTCTTGTGTGAGTGATTTTTAAGGGTATGCAGTTTTCTCCAGCTGCACTTGCACAGCATAGCCAGATGGAGTGTTCTGGGGTATGTGCTGGGTGTGAATAAAATGCATTAACCTCTACTCTGCAGCAAAGACATAGCCTGTATGCTTGACGCACAGCTGTCCTGTCATCAGTCCAAGTGTTTTGCTCACTTCTGTGCTGAATGACTTGTATTACCTCCTCATGCTCACATCTTACTGCTGCCCAGCAGCTCACAAGGGGATTTGACAGACACCATGTCCTGCATGTCTACCACCCACCCCACTCCACAGTGGAAATGAGGGCTCTGAGCAAAAGCAAAGCAACTTCTATGAAGTTAGGGCTTAAGAGACAAATTTCTAGGTTTAATCAAGAATTGTGGACAGCAGACAACCTAACAATGAGTTTGAATGCTATCATTGCTAATTGCTGAATGATAAATCGCAAAAATGTGTCCTGCAATTTCAGCCCATGGAAATTCATTTGAAATATGTAGCTCAATAGAACCAATATCTTATGAGCACCAAGCTTGCAGTGTGCAGGATGTCCTCTCCCCAAGGGCAGCAACTAATGGCATCACTACATGCTATGGTAGCTAAAGAAAGGCTGGGAATAGATGAAACCTCTTTGGAGATGGAGGAGTGTGTGGAACCTAAGCTGCCAATGATCTTGTGCCACTGTTTGTTAAATGATCAGGCAAGCAGGAACTACTGAAGATGGGAGCCATAACTGTGTAAGGGCTCACAGGTTTAGTAAATGCCAGCAAAGAAAACTATAAGAGGAAAGGAAATGAAAGTAATGTCCAAGATTCCTTTTGGATTTTTTTCTACTGCTGTGTTGTATGCTTGAAACAAAAAAGAGCAAAACTGAGAGACATTTTCCATAGAGATCTTTGGTTAAGGATCTTCAATCCCAATGAGAGACATCATCTGGTTCAAGATAAATCCTAAGCAGTGGGCAAGGAACCCCCATGGGCAAGAACAAAACCGAATCTGTACTGAAGCATTCTGGCTTGCCAGATGCATCTCAGTCAGCTTCTGTTTGAGGTTTATTGTTGAATTTTCCAGTACTGTTAAACCTGCTGAGAAAATAAATCACATTTTAGAGGAAATCGGAATGCAATTGGGTATGTTCAAAATTAGCAAAAGGCTTTTGAGATCGCCCTGCTGATGGCCATATTGCTCCACTGATGGGCATGTTGCTCCTTTCTTGGTCTGTGTTTCAGACCCACTTTTCTGACAGATGCAGATGCCAGCACTTTTGGTTTGGGGGCAGTATTGACACAAGAACACAAAGGACTTGTGAGGGTGGTGCCTTATTACAACACTAAATTAGCTGGAGAGAGATTACTGCACCACTTAAAAGGAACCCCCGCAATGGTTAAATCTATAGAACATTTTCATCCACTGTTCAACACGGAAGTAAAATTGCTTTGGGTTGATGACAGGAAGATGCTGCATAAATAGTTAAGTATGCATCATTTGCAATTTGCTAAATTATATTCTTTCTATCTAGAAGGGGCTGTGTAAGGTGTCATTACCTCCTGCTCTATCTGGCTGAGGAGCTGCACACTCTGGGGCTCGTACAGTGAACACCAGGGGCTGACTGGGCTTTGAGTGAGCTGTGGTCTGGAAGGAGACTCAAAGCTGCCAGAGGCACAGCTCACAACGGTGTCCGAGCCTCCCACCACATGCAGGGGAGCACAGGCAGAAGAGGATCTGTGGTGACAAACAGGACCACCTCAAAAGCCCTTGCCCAAGTGCTCCTCCTAAGTAGGCCAGCTCCACAGCACTTCAAAATTAGCAAACTTCCAAACAGAAGGAAGACCAGTCTGCGTTCAACACCCTAGATGAGAGAAATGCAAAAACATGAACAAGAGAAAATAGTAAGTAAATGCAATTAAAAGTAACGATGCAGGTTTAATTAAAGGGCCCTATTCTCCCAACCCTTCATTCTTCAGGGATGCCTCATAAGCAAGAATTCATAGCTTGGGACCTGCTCTCTTTTACTTTTGTAAGAAGAAGTTGGAACATTTCCTTTCAGAAGCATATGGGTTTTAACCTGGCAGTGTCTCTCCAGCATACCAAACTCAAGAAGTTTGCTGGTTGTATTTTCAGCAATTTATAAATACTTGCTACAATTATTAACAGTTTCACACAGTCCTATTTACTTTAATAATCCCACTTTCATGTCTTTTTTCTTGCTTTCTTACTGTGAACAGGTAAAAACAAATAACTACAGAATGACAAATCCCAAACAATATACAAATATACAAAAACTCAGATTTTGCAAACATACTGGCACTATAAACATTATTTCCACAAAATATGTCTCTGCACTATAAGTTTGGCCTGGTTAGTAAAAGTCTAGTCTTTACAGGGACCTAAATATTTAACTCAATTGATGCATATTGCTAAACTTGACTGCTCAAAATTCATGAGTCAGACTCCACTCCTCCCTGAGCTGCCAAATCACAGGAATTTCACAAAAGCCATTAAAAATTTATTTCTTTGGAAGTTTCCTATTTGTTCTCTGGCTTCTGAGGCTTTTGACAGCACTAGGCCACATTTCCAAGTGTCCTTGTGTCGAGGCAAATGCTAGAAACAAGTCATTCCAGGAGCTGGGAATCAAAAGAGAACACCAAATATTGGAAGACTCACAATAAAAGCTCAAGACAAGACCTGGCAGTGGTCCCACACACGCTCATGTATGTGAGTCACTTTTACTCACATGAGTAGTCACATCAAAATCAGAGGAATTAGCCTATTATTATTAATTATTATTATTATTTATGTGTGTAGCAATAGCACATAGGACTTGTGGTTATGGAGCTGGGCCACATTGTGCAAGGCACTGACAAATCCAGAGCAAAACCATGGTTTCTGCCCCAAAGAGCTGATGGTGTAAACACCAGACAAGAGGCAACAGGTGGAGACAGACACAGACAGGGAAGCACATGGGAAGAGCAAGACACTCCTGCAAGGGCTTCTGTGTGGGTGTGCTGATGTGGAGTTCCCTGCTGCCAATGAACAAAATTATCCAAGAGCGTTCAGGTTTGCCTAGCTGCGGCCCAGGGCCCAAATCCTGCAAGCCCTGGAGTGGAGGCAGATCCACCCCACAGCCCTTGTGCCTGGGCAGGCAGGCAGCTGCACCTCCAAACCCCAGTGCTGAGCATGGTGCCAGCGAGCCCAGTCTCCTAGCTCCTGTAGAGGCAGCCAGGGGGTGACAGAAAAGGTCTCTGTGGATGCTTCTGTGGAATCACCGCCACAAAATGTGCACATGCAACTGTAATGTATACTCACTGTCTCAGTGAAATGAAAGGTGGAGCTGGGGAAAGTAGTTTAACACAGAAATGTGATGCCTGCCTGTTGGAAATTCAGGTGCGTGAGAACTCTTGTCTCTGATCCTGCAAAGACATCTCCCAAAACCAGCCTAGTCTACTCATAGAGCCAAGGCTGCTCATAGCTTGCACATTTATTCCTTGGCATTTTTGCTAGGGTCCAGACCCGAAAAAGTTAGTCCTGTGCGCAACTGCCAGCAAAGCCAGCACAGCCAAACTGAGAAATGCTACAGTTGTAGATCTGAGACAACAGTTCTAAACTTGAGTGAAATCAGAAAAAGAACATTAGCAAAAGAAAAATACTGAAGTTTAGAAGTTTGTAAAATAGCAACTGAACATCATGACTAGGAAAACCAGCAGAAGAATAAAGCGGTACACACAACCTAGTTATTCGCCATCTCCATGGAGTTTAGTCTCAGGGAACTAAGGTGAACGGGGTCAGCAGACTGCAAAATAGAAAATTTTATAAAATTTACAGTGGTTCTCTGGGAAGGACGACGGATGGGTAAGAGGAACCGCTAGTGCAGGAACAGGGCAGGGGACAGACAGCTGCGCGCGCGGGCAGGGAAATGGGGACACTTTCTCGCCTTTTCCCTTGCCAGGGGAGGGTGATCCAGTCCGTGTTTTGCAGGTGCCTCTCCCTTGACTGCCTGCCCTGCCTGCCTGGAGATCGAGTCCGCTCCGTGCCCGCTCCCTCCCGCCGCTCCCCCCTTCCCCACCCCGGGCGGGCCGGGGCGGGCGGCGGCGGGCTCCAGGCCGGGTTTTGCGCGACGCCCGCCCTCCTGTTAGAAATAGGAAAATTCAATAATCAAAGCAAAGGGGAGCGCGAGGAGGAAAAATCCGGGATCAGGGCAAGTTTGATGGCGCATGCGCGCTGCTGCCTCCATCCCAAACACACACACATTTCCCTTGACTTGGAAAGTCAACCAAAGCAGCCCCAAGTGCAGGTAAGCCCGTCCGCTCCCGCCCGGCCCCGGCCCCGCCGCCGGCAGCCCCGGGGCCGGGGCGCTGCGCGGGC